TGACGCATGCGGGCGGTGGCGCTGGGGCTTTCGGTGGAGCTCCTTATGGGGCCAGGAAACGTGTGAGGAGAGCCGAATGGGGCGTGCGTGACACATGCGGGCGGTGACACTGGGGCCTTCGGTGGAGCTCCCTATGGGGCCACGAAACGTGTGAGCGGTGTGCCGAAGTGATGTGCGTGACGCATGCGGGCGGTGGCACTGGGGCCTTCGGTGGAGCTCCCTCTGGGGCCACGAAACGTGTGAGCGTTGTGCTGAATTGGGTGTGCGTGACGCATGCGGGCGGTGGCACTGGGGCCCTCGGTAGAGCTCCCTATGGGCCACGAAACGTGTGAGGAGTGTGCTGAAATGGGTGTGCGTGACGCATGCGGGCGGTGGCACTGGCGCCTTCGGTGGAGCTCCCTGTGGGGCCACGAAACGTGTGAGGGGTGACCCGATTTTGGTGTGCGTGGCGCATGCGGGCGGTGGCACTGGGGCCTTCGGTGCAGCTCCTTATGGGGCTACGAAGCGCTGTACTGGGTCGGTGAAACGCAGGGAGGAGGAAAAGGGGGAGGTAGGAGGCGGGAGGAGTCCGCGGGGCTCCGTCTCTTCAAAACGAGGACCCAACACCACAGGATGGTAGGAACAAAAAGACCCCTATCCCTGATGTTTTGGGACTCAACTTAAGGCCGCTCCCAACAGGATTAGGGGTAAGGGGCGGCCCTTTTATTGCCAGTCAGGAAGCGCGGTGCCGAGGGAAGCGGCCGGCCGGAGGCGGTGCTCTTCTTCTGGGACGAGCGGGACGGCTCCGACTACAAGGGCTGGTGGCTGGGCCCGCAGATCGGCTGGGACCACCCAGGCTGGGCGCGCCACCGCGACCTCGTCGCGCCGCTGCCACCCCCGGATGGCTGGCAGGTGCCGCCCGGCGGCCCGGTGGACCCGCTCTTCACGGTGGCTCCCGAGCTCGACTCCGATTCGGCGACCACGAAGGGTGCGGTTACGCCGGGGTGTGGTTTGCGATCGGCGCTGTTGGGGCCGGGGGGTCACGGCACTGTCCTCGTCGGGCCTCCTCAGGGCGCGGCGGAGAACTCTATCGAGGTCCCCGCCCGCCCCCCAGGGTGCCCCCCAGGATGCCGGTTGCAAACCACACCCGTTGCAAACCACACACGTCAGAGTCGCCGACCGATGGAGTTGCTTGCCACTCCGCGGGCGAGACGGTTCACGAGGCCGAGCGCCGTCCGGCTGCTGGACCGGGCCAGGGCGTGCTGGATGGCGACCCTGCGGACAAAAAGAGCGCGTGCGCGGACCTCGAGCCACTGCGATCAGCCGGATTCTTTCAGGGCTTGACGACTTGTCGCCAATCGGCTTGTGGAGACGAAGCTTGATACATGAAGGTACGTGATGCGGATGTGTCGTGGCAGATCCAAGCAGACCCTGAGAAATCCATGGGAGATCATGTAAATCCAGAGACCTTCAGGGGAATTTGGCGCGACGCGCGGCCTTTCCAGCGCGAGTCGTGGTTGACGGCAGAGGTCGTGGAGCTCTTCACGGCGGATGGGTCTCTTCGCGCCGTCGTGGGGCCTTTGCCGGGGTCGTCTCTGGGGATGGGCTGCCCTGGAGCACGGGGGCGAGGCCTTCACGCGTCGGGGAGACGAGGGCAATCCTGCCATCGGGACGATCGAACTGGGAACGGAAAGAGTGGGTGCGATGCCCAACAGCAGTTCCTGTTCATTTTAAACAGGGCTCGCTGTCCGCGCCGCCGCGGACGTTGTTCCTTGAAGACCAGAAGCCGCCTGCCAGGCAGCGGCCGCGGTCGGTTTTTAACGACATTTGTTCTTGGGCATTGTGCCCATTTTTTCCGTACCCACTTTGGGCGCCCAAATTCGGCGGCAACGATTCGGGGAGATGGGCATAGGGGAGGTTGCATCGACCCCCCCATCGCCCTGCGATCGCCGATAGCGGTCCGATAGCCACACCCCGCCCAGGAAGGTGCGGCTTCGCTATCGTGGGCCTATCGCTGATCTATCGGCGATGTATCGCCGGTTCCGTTCCAGGTCGATGTTCCCCCCCCCCCCCCCGTACGCCAGCCCCCCCTTCTCGTTGCCCCTCGCAGATGCCGGACTGCGCGTCCGAGCCTGCCGCGGCGTGCCATTCGCATGTACACCTTAGGCGATGCGTAAGAAAACTTAAATTTTCGGCCAGAGTCTCGATTATTCTTAATGTTTCAATGTGAATCCTAAGATTTGAATGGAAACTTTAGGTTTTTGTTCAAGTTCTGAGACTATGAATTTCTTAACCCATGATTTCTTAAGCATTTCGCAGGGTGTACGCCAGTCCCCCCCTGTCGTTGCCCCTCGCAGATGCCGGACTGCGCGTCCGAACCTGCCGCGGCGTGCCAGTCGCGCATGTCGTGGCCACGGGCTGCGGCCCTGCCTCTCCAGCATCGGCGGGTCTCTCCGCTGCAGGCTCTGCTGTAGACTCGGGGGATGCCGTGGTCGGCGGTCCGAGGGAGCCACCGAGGTCGGCCAGGCTCGGGGCCCGGATGGGGCCCAGGGCCCCTGCGGTGCCTTTCTCGAGTTCGGGGATCGACTGCAGGGTTTCGTGTACCCCAGAGTTGATTGCTCGTTGAGCCTGCCATGACATGTGCCCTTCTCGAGTTCGGGGATCGACTACGGGGTTCCATGTACACCAGAGTTGAATGCTCTTCGAGCCTGCCATGACATGCGCAGAGTGTGCCGTGCCTCTGCGGAGCCTGCTGGGGACTCTTCGGCAGGAGCACGAGATCTCGGGTGCATCGATTCCGTAGTCGATCCCCTACTCGATTTTCACGTCGCTGCTGACGTCGAGCACTGCATTCCGCGCGCGTGCCCCACGCATCGTTGCCACCTCCACGGCTGCCGTGCGCAAGCGCTCGAGGACCGAGGGGCGGAGCGCTCGCTCGGGTCCCGAGGAGCAGCGCTCGCCATCGTTCAGTGGACGCCGCCTGGCGGCATGCTCGAGCGCGTGGTGCACATGGGAGGCTGCCAAGGAACCAGAGGAGAACGATGCTGCTGCCGATACTGTTGCCATTCCTTTTGTTTTTGCCTTTTGCGGCCGCCCCAGTGGCCCTCTCTGCCACGGCTGCATCCGCCTCAGAATCCAAGTCAGAGTGACTCGTCTCCGGGGTCTGGGTGAATCGCGGTATCGATCTCGTGTCGTCTTCCGGGGAGGATGAGGATTCTAAAATTATCCCAGTGCGACCCTACCTAGGAGTTGGAGCCCCTAGGAAAGCAGCATTAGTAGTAACAGTAAAGCTAAGCTAACGCTAAAGCTAAGCTAAAGCTAAAGCTAAGCTAAAGCTAAGCTAACACTAAGCTAAATCTAAGCTAAAGCTAAGCTACATCTAAGCTGAAGTTAAAGTAAAGCTAAATTGAAGCTAAGCTAAAGCTAAGCTACATCTAAGCTAAAGTTAAGCTAAACATAAGCTAAAGCTAAGCTGAAGCTAAGCTAAAGCTAAACTGAAGCTAAGGTAGAGCTAAGCTAAAGCTAAGCTACAGTTAAGCTAAACCTAAGGTACAGCTAGGGTACAGCTAAGCTAAAGCTAACGCTAAAACTAACGCTAAAGCTAAGCTAAAGCTAAAGTTAAAGCTGAAGCTACAGCTCCCAGGGGGCTGGGGGAACCGCGGGGCGGATCATGGGGGAATCGCCCGGGGCGCTTTCCACTGCCTGGCCCCTTTCAGCACACCGAGTAAGAACCCTTCTAGGCAGAGCCTAGGTAGGGAACAAGCATCCTCGCCGTACTCTTCGACCTCACCGCTTCCGCAGGAAGCGCTTGCAGTAATGGCGGGGATCGCCTGATGGACGACTGACTCCCTGGATCCAGCTGCGGTACTGCTGCCTGGTTCCTCCTCCTCCTCCTCCTCCTCCTCTTCCTCCCCTCTCCTCCTCCCCCTCCCTGCTCTCTGCTCCCTCCTCCTCATCCCTCTCCCTCCTCCCTCCTCCCTCCTCCCTCCTCCTCCTCCTCCGCCTTCGTCCTCCCTCCTCCCTCCTCCCTGGATCCAGCTGCGGTGCTGCTGCCTCGTTCCTCGCGGCCTCCTCCCCAGAGAGGGAACCCGCACCCGCGTGCAGTCGGGGGCAGGTTGCCGGACCAACTGCTCTGGGGGGCGCCGAGCCTCGCCCTGGCCCTCCTGGGCGCGCTCGGCCACTAGGCTTGCCTCGCCGAGGAAGCTCAGCAACCCGATGTTACCGAGTTTCGCCACGAGGGGACGCACGAGGGGGTGGTCCTCAACGTCGAACGGAGTCCCGAGAGCAGTTGACGGAGATGGTTCAGAATCCTGTCGATGATGCTACCCTCCACGACGGCAGAACTCCGGCATCAGAGTCCTGTCGATGATGCTACCCTCCACGACGGCGGTGATGGTCACCATGCGTAAAAAAAAGCTTAGCGGCTTGACGTGACTCTCGACACTGCTACCCTGATTCCCGAAGGGGGAGAAGGAGGAGGACGATGACGAATACGAGGAGGAGGAGGAGGAGGAGGAGGGGGAGGAGGAGGAGGAGGAGGAGGTGGAGGTGGAGGAGGAGGAGGGACGACGAGAAGGAGGAGGAGGAGGAGGAGGAGGAGGAGGAGGAGGAGGAGGAAGGAGGAGGAGGAAGGAGGAGGAGGAGGGAGGAGTAGGAGGAGGAGGAGGAGGAGGAGGAGGAGGAGGAGGAGGAGGAGGAGGAGGGAGGAGGAGGAGGAGGAGGAGGAGGAGGAGGAGGAGGGAGGAGGAGGAGGAGGAGGAGGAGGAGGAGGAGGAGGAGGAGGAGGAGGGGAGGAGGAGGAGGAGGAGGAGGAGGAGGAGTGGGAGGAGGAGGAGGAGGAGGAGGAGGAGGAGGAGGAGGAGAAAGCGGAGGAGGAGGAGGAGGAGGAGGAGGAGGAGGAGGAGGAGAAGGGAGAAGGGAGAAGGGAGAAGGGAGAAGGGAAAACGGAGAAGGGAGAAGAAAAAAGGAGGAGGAGGAGGAGGAGGGCCCTCCCTCTCCCCGCCCCTTCCCCGCCCTCGCTCAGGGCTCGGCACGCCCCGCGCGCCCTGCCCTCGCTTCCCGTGCGGTGGGCTCCGGGCCTCCGACGCTGAACTCTGTCTGTGCGCAGCGCGTCGCGACAGGAGCGACGCAGGGTGCCGCTCGCTCGAACCGGGGAAGCGTAGGACTCGAGTACGCTGGAACTCGTGTCCGCTTTCGCTTTTTGACGAGCGCGTCCCTGGATTTTGGCGGTCCGGTTTTCGTGGGGTGTCTGCAGCGGGAGTTCGCGTCCGATTTCAGCTTGGGTCTCGTCATTTTCATGATGGCCCCGTCAGGCTAACCTGAGTCCCTCGTAGCCGAGTCTTACGTCTCCCAGATCGAAGCAGGAGAAGCGGCATAAACAGAATCTGTTGGCGCTCCGCGCGGGTTTCTCGGATCCGCGCTGGCTCCCCCCCCCCCCGGCGGCGCCCCCCCCCCCCCCGCCCCCGGCGGCGCCTCCAGCGCCGCCCCTGGCGCGCTCCGCGCGCCAGGGAAGGGGGGCCCAGCGCAGATTCAAGAAATCCGCACGCAGCGCCCAAAGATTATGGGCGTGTGTGGTGTCTTCTCCTTCTTCTTATTCTTCTTCTTTTTCTTCTTCCTCTTCCTCTTCTTCTTCTTCTTCTTCTTCTTCTTTTTTTTCTTCTTCCTCTTCCATGTCTCGTCCCCCTCGCGAGCGTCGGAGGCCCAGGTGACGTATACCTCACCGCCCGCCAGATTGCCCCAACCCGAGTCGAAGGCCCCGACTTGCCCTCCATCTCCAGTGGGGGGGGTCGGGGAACATTGAAAAAGCACATATGAAGCCCGTACCCCCCACACAACCCGAAATTCGGGTCTTCGGGTTGGGTTGCGGTGGCTTGGTAGGTGGTCCACACCCAGGGACCCCTCGGCGTGGGGTGGCGCCACCCATGGCTGGCGGCCAGGGCCCCGTGTGGAAGGACGCGCGGGCGCGCGCGCGCGCGCGCCCGCTGCCCCGCGCGGCTCGGGCCTCTTCCGGCCGCGGTTCGGAGGAGAAGCGCGGACTCGGACAGCAAGTCTTAAGTCGGGCCTGTCCCTCCACACGAGGAGTGAATTCAAAAACAGTCAAACAAAAGTCTGGGGACGATTTTGTGTTGACTATGTTTGTCCATTTTGGAGTACTTCGGTTTGACCATGTTTTATTTGCCGTCCAAAATCCGCCTGTAGGGGGACATGCCCGACCTAAAGCAAGTCGCGGTAGCTTCCGCTCGTCCTGCATTGAATGCGCATCGGCGGGTGGCGTCTACCAGCGCGCCCGCAGCGCGCGCATGGCCGCGCCCAGTGTAGAGTGCCTCAGGAGTGCCCAGATATATAGCGCTCCCAGGAGCGCCGAATTGTAAGCACCCAAGTGGCGCCCAATGGCGCCATGTGCGGGAGTTGTACCAACGTCCGCTTTGCGCGCGATTTGGGTGCGCCATTGGTCGCCGTGGGGTGGGGACGCGCAGCAGCTACCGTGAGTTGCTTTCGAAGCGCGGACCACCGCCACTCTCCCGGGGGTCGGCCCCTCGCCGCTGGGTTCTCGGTGGGGGGGGGTCCTCACTTCTCCGCTGAATTCCATCGCTTGCGCCCCAGGGCCCCCCTCTCCTCCTCCCTCCCTCGCTCTCTCCTCCTCCTCCTCCTCCTCCTCCTCCTCCTCCGCCTCCTCCTCCTCCTCCTCCTCCTCCGCCTCCGCCTCCTCCTCCTCCGCCTCCTCCTCCTCCTCCCTCCTCCCTCCTCCCTCCTCCCGAGATGGCTCTAGAAGGACTACGAGGCGTATGCGTCGAGTAGGGGATCAACCATTGATGTACCCCGAAATTCATGTTTGTCGCATCCAGAAGGGAAAGTCAAACGTTCGTGGACTGCTACGTATTCCTCTGGCGATTCGACGAACAAAATGTTTGGGGGTAAATCAATTCTGTCTTGGATCTCGTACCCGAATGCGACAACTCGCCTGGGCATCGATTTTGGAATGGGCTGGTGGGGATACTTTTTTGGTCGGCGGCCGCGCGACGACGGTCTGGCGGCAACAGGCGTGTCCGGGACGGCGGAACAGGCAAATTGCACGCAAGGCGTGCGGTGCACGTGCACTGAGCAAAATGCTCCACATTCGAGCCGAGACGCACCTAGGCGCCGCCCGGTCCAAAAGAACGAGCGCACAGAGGTGCGGGTGCAACGGAACGTCGCCCTTGCGGCGCCAAGCTCCGAGCAACACCTCAAACAGACAATTAGCACCAGCCCGGAGTACGGGCTGCTGGGGGTGGAAGGCTGACGGCGCTGAAGGCTGATGCACTCAGCGCGCAGCCAGCTGGTGGGGATACGCGACGCGTCAAGAAATCTAGAGACACATGGCGACACCATCGTGAGCCAGCCCGTTGGGTAGGACCTCGACCAGGTGCACCTTCTCTCAGCGCGGCCGTCACTCAACGTGCGGGCTCCAAGCAAAGGAGTGCACTTGTTCGTAGATCTTTGACAAAGGAGGCCCAGCTACATTTGCAGCGTGGTATTGATATCGGTATCCTCCTCATCCTCATCATCATCAGCATGATCATCATCATCGTCATCGTCATCGTCATCATCATCATCATCATCATCATCATCATCATCAGCATCATCAGCATCATCAGCATCATCAGTATCAGCGTCATCAGCACATGCTGCGTGCGTATCTTGACATGCGGACAGGGCAGGCAGCCACAGCTTGCGCTTTCGCTGCTCGCCGACGTCTGGGACCCTCCTCCGCAGCCCGACGTCATCAGCTCGGGCCTGAGCACAATCACCTCGGCCCCTCCCTGCAGGCTGGAGCTTCGGCCAGTCCCGCGGGGGCCTCCCAGGAGTTACGATGCTTCAACCGACTTTAGCTTTGACCACCAGAAAGGATTGTTTGGCACCAAGAGAGTACCGAAACTTGAGGGTTTTCACGCGTCGTGTCCTGGGAGGCGATGCTCGTTCGACACTGTTTCGATATTCGTCTGGGTGCTCGAGATTATTTCTGGGATGTGGTCTTGAAATACGATGGAAGCAGCATGTGTCTGGAGGGATGGTGGCATCTGTCCCCCGTCCATGTTCGCAATGCTTCTGGTCGGATGTTTCGTTCTAGGGGGATGGTTTGTTTGTGTTTATCCTCTGGCGCGTAGCTGTCGTTACCCAGGCCCCCCAAAAGGAAGTGGCAACGATCGTACGCAGGGGAAGGGGACCTGGACCCCCCCCACTCCTGGTGCTCGTGCCAGGACCCCGCCCGGGACCCCCCCCCCGCCCAGGGGGAGGGATCAAAGGGAAGGGGCTTCCCTTTGAGGCAATGAGACGTTGTTATATTCGGCGACGGACGTTGATATGTTCGGCGACGGGCTCAGGGGAAGGAGCGAAAGCGGCGACCTCGATGTGGAAGCGGTGACGTCGACGACGGGGCTCTCGACGTGGGAGCGGTGACGTCGACATTACTGAGGAGGACCCAGGAGGACCCAGGAGGAGGCGTTCGCCAGGGTCCCCCCCCCACCGACCAGCCGCAAGAGGCCAGGCTCGCGCATCCAGGCCCGCGCAGCTGGCCGTGCTCTGCGCGTCGCGGCCGGGGGAGGAGGAAGGAGGAGGAGGAGGAGGAGGAGGAAGGAGGGAGGAGGAGGAGGAGGAGGAGGAGGAGGAGGGAGGAGGGAGGAGGGAGGAGGAGGAGGAGGAGGAGGAAGAGGAGGAGGAGGCAGGAGGAGGAGGCAGGAGGAAGAAGAGGAGGAGGAGGAAGAGGAGGAGGAGGAGGAAGCCGAGCTGGCCTTCTGCAGGGGTCGGCGCGAGGCGGTGGAGATGACCGCGTGCCGCGGTGCGCGGCGTGCGAGTGGGGGGAGGAAGAGCCATCCCGATCCCGATCATTTAGAGGGCAGAAGATCCATCCCCAGAATGATCACCCCGACACGCGAAGCCGTTTAGCAAACGCACCCATAGAAGGAATCGAACAGCGTAGGGTTGTTTAGTAATCGCCCAGGGCCGTTTAGTAAACAGCAATTGTCGTGTCCGGCTGGTTTCTCCTACTTTGATAATTGGCGCTTGCCAGGCGGCCCAGGGCGCTTGCGAGGCAGCCTTGTCCTGGTTCGGCAGCTCCCTGGGGTGCGTTGGCTACACGGCTTCGCTTGTGGGGGTGCTTGTTCTGAGAGCGGATTTGCCTCTCGACATTCCTCCTCGAAATCAAGCGCAAGCTTTTCCCGCGACTTGGCGTCGTCCCAGGACCTCAAAAGTTCAACCTTTGCGCCGAAATGAGCGATTCCGAACATCAAATCTGGTCCCAGGGGCCGCGTCTCGCGCGTCGACCAACATATTAAAGGCCTGCTTCTACTTCGCGGAGGGCCGTGGTGCGGTTGTGGGGCGGCTTTTGCGGAGAAGGCCAGGGCTCCATGTCTATGCCTCCTGGATGGGGTCAGAGCAGATGGGGTCGGAGTCCTCGTCCTGCTCCTCCTCCTCCTCCCCCTCCTCCTCCTCCTCCTCCTCCCTTCTCCTCCTCCTCCTCCTCCTCCTCCTCCTCCTCCTCCTCCTCCTCCATTCCTCTACCTTTTTCTTATGAATACGCTCTCCCTGTCGCATCCCGAGGCCTGTTTTTAGCGCGGGCGGGGCTTTCGCCTGAGACTTCCTCAATGTATGACTCTGAAGCTTCAAAGTCGCAACAGCTTCACAAATGGAGGGTGGACGGTATTCAAAATGTGTCTCTCGCCTAAGCGCCGCGCGCATTCGTTTGAACCAATTGCAAGAGCATCACGGATTGAGGGCGGGTTTTTTCAATACATTCGCTTTCGAAAATTGCAAGGGCTTCGCGGATTGTGGGCGGATGAGTTTCAAAAGGTGGCTCTCGCCATAGCACGGCGCACATTCGATTAAAACCAATGAAAGAGTTTCACGGACTGAGGGCGGGCCGTTTTCAAAATGTGGCTCTCGCTTTTGCGCCGCGCTCATTCGCTTAAAACATGTACAAGAGCTTCACGGGTTGAGGGCGGTTCCTTTTCAAACTGTGGCTCTCGCCTTAGCGCCGCGCACATTCGTTTATAAAAATTGCTAGAATTTCACGGATGTCCATGATCAGGATAACAGAGTTGGTGTTTTGGAAGGATTCAGGCTTATGCGGGTGCAACGCTTATGTTGGTTCGCGGTGTTGAACTCCTAAAAATAGCGTTCTGGCACGATTCGGGGTCGTCAAATCAGCGGTCAGGCTGATCTGTTGCGTTGGAATCCCGGGAACAATGGTTTGGCATTCTCCAGGATCTTCAAACGGTTGTCTTCCAACGAGGCTTTCCCTTAATGGGAATGAGCCGTTGTAGGGACCTATGAAGAGGGAGCTTGGAGGAAGGGTTTTTTTTCCAACATCGTTGATGACTCTTGGGTTTACACTGGTCCTCCTCCTCCTCCTACTCCTCTTTCTCCTGCCTTCTCCTCCATTCCTTCCCCTTATAAATAACTTCCCCCTGTCGCACCCCGAGGCCTGTTTTTAGGGCGGGCCGGGCGTTTCGCATCAGATTCCCTCATTATTTATGATTTTGAAGACCCAAAAGTGGCAACAGCTTCACAGATGGAGGCGGACGGTTTTCAACATGTGGCTCTCGCCTTAGCGCCGCGCGCATTCGTTTAAACAATTTTCAAGATCTTCACTGATTGAGGGCGGGTGGTTTTCAAAACGTGGTTCTCGCTTTAGCGCCGCGCACATTCCTTTTAAACATTTGCAAGAGCTTCGCGGCTTAAGGGCGGTTCCTTTCAGAATGTGGCTCTCGCCTTAGCTCCGCGCACGTTCCTGTATAATACTTGCGAGAGATTGATTCACGGATTCCCATGATCAACGTACCAGAAATGGCGGTTTGGAAGGATTCAGGATTACGCGGGTGCAACCGTTACGTTGGTTCACGGTGTTGAAGCCCCCCCGATGGCTTTCTGACAAGATTCAGGATTGTCAAGAAGCAATAGTCAGGTTGATCCGTGGTGTCAGAATCCCGAGAAAAATAAAATGTTTTGGCATGATTCAGGGTCTTCAATCGGTTGTCTTCCAAAGAAGCAGTTCCCTCAATGGGAATGAACCGTTGTAGGGGCCTATGAAGAGGTAGCTTGGAGGGAGGGTCACTTCCAAAATGGTTGATGACTCTTGGGTTTAAACTGGTCATCCTCCTCCGCCTCCTCCACCTCCTCCTCCTCCTCCCTCCTCCTCCTCCTCCTCCTCCTCCTCCTCCCTCCTCCTCCTCCTCCTCCTCCTCCTCCTCCTCCTCCTCCTCCTCCTCCTCTTCCTCCTCCTCCTCCTCCTCCTCCTCCTCCTCCTCCTCCTCCTCCTCCTCCTCCTCCTCCTCCTCCCCTCTAGATGGGGTACCACCAGATGGGGTCGCAGGAACGCGCCGGATGCATCGGCGATGCGGCTCGATGTAGAGTCCGAGTTTCTCCACGACGACGTCGCCCGTGCATCGCCGACGCATCGCCGGCGCATCGTAAACGCATCGCCGATGCATCGGCGACGCGATGCGATCATGCGACCACAGGCTTTTTTGCCGCACGGTTGACGGCTCCTCCTCCTCCCCCTCCTCCTCCTCCTCCTCCTCCTACTCTCCCTCCTCCTCCTCCTCCTCCTCCTCCTCCTACTCCTCCTCCTCCTCCTCCTCCTCCTCCTCGGGGGGGGATGGGGCGAGACAGGGGGAGGAAGGGCCATCTAGGAGGCCTCTGCCACAGGAGCCGGTGGCCTCGCCGGGGCTGCCCGCGGAGCTGGGCGCCAGCTGCGCGGGAGCGTCGTGGAGCGCCACGCGCTCCACGGGTCACGGCCTCGGCCTCTGCCCAGGGGGTCGGCGTCGGGGAGGGTCGACGAGGCGGGGGTCTGCCTCCAGCACCACCGCCCGGGGATCGATTTTCAGAACCACGCTCGCGCTTCGCGCGCGATTAGGTTCTAGCCGGCTCCGAAGACGGTATTAGCAGGCAGGCACGGGTCCGATCCCGTGGCGTTTGCCAAAATACCCGCAGAATCTATCACCCGAACCCCAACACCCTAGACTGAACAACTGAACCCGAACACCCGAATACCCGCACACCGTAACCCTAATCCCCACTCCTAAAATCTTATTCCCGAGCCCTGACACCCGAACCCTGACATTCGAATCATAATACCCCAAACCGAACACCCGAATTAACCCACACACCGATTATTTGTACCCGAGCCCGAAAGCCCTAACCCAATACTCGAACTCCCGAACAGCCCAACACTATCACCCGAAACCAAACAGCCGAACTTTATCATTCTAACCCTAACCTAACACCATTACCCTGACACCCTCACCCTTACACCCTAACCTTGACACCGGATACCCGAGCCCTAAGCCCGAAACCGAACGCCTCAACAACCTGACCCAAACACCCTAGCTCAATACCTTGACCGAAACACCCTGACTCCTTATTTGGCTCGTCCTTCAGAGCCTTCTCGCCTAGAGCTCCCGCTCGGGGCGGAGAGGGACAAGGAGAGAATCTGATGGATGTGGGGAGAGGGAGGGAGATGGAGAAGGAGGGGGGAGCATGAGAGGGAGGAGTGAGGACGAGGGAGAAGGAGAGAGAAGGAGGCAAGAGGAGGAGGAGGAGGAGGTGGAGGAGGTGGAGGTGGAGGAGGAGGAGGAGGAGGAGGAGGAGGAGGAGGAGGAGGAGGAGGAGGAGGAGGGAGGAGGAGGACACATGCGTACATACAGACAAGTGCACACAACCAGAGGCACGTACAAGCAATACCCGTGCGCGGGTCGTGAGTCAGGGGCATCTTGGATGCCTCTCGGTGCCTCGCGGAGCGATTCTCGGGGACTTCTTGGACGCCTCTGCGGGGCCTCCAGGGGTCCCCTCGGCGCCTCTGCGGGGGCCTCTTGGGAGATTCTGGGGCTCTCTTGGGGGCGTCCCGGAGGTCTCCCGGCTGGTCTTGTCGGCATGTTGGGAGCCAGGCGGCCGGACATGAGGCCCCACGGACCCTCCTGGAACCCTCTTGGGGCCTGCTTGGGGCTCCCAATTGGGGCCTGCGTGGGGCTCACTTGGGCCGTCTCGGGGCCCTCCTGGGCCGTCTTGGGGCTGTCCTAAGCCGTCCTCGGGCGCTCTTGGAGCTCTCTTGGGGTGTCTTGATGGCTTCTTAGCCCTTCTGGAAGCCATCCTGGGCCGTCTTGCGCCTCTTGGAACCCTCTTGGGGCTCTCTTGGGGCTCCCTTGGGGCTTGCCGTGGGGCTCACTTAGGCCGTCTTGGGGCCCTCCTGGGCCGTCTCTGGGGTTTCCTTGGGCGCCTCTTGGGGCTGTTTGGGCGCACCGATATCCAAGGGAGCGGATCTGCTAAAAGTCTACGTCTTACCAAAGGAATGGGGCCATTTTGGTCTCCCGGGGACCTCGTGGGGGGCCTCTTGGAGCTCTCTTGGGGCGTCTTGAGGGCCTCTTAGCCCTTCTGGAAGCCATCATGGGCCGTCTTGCCCCTCTTGGAACCCTCTTGGGGCTCTCTTGGGGCTCCCTTGGGGCTTGCTTTGGGGCTCACTTAGGCCGTCTTGGGGCCCTCCTGGGCCGACTCTGGGCTGTCCTAAGCTGCCTGGGGAGCGTCCTTGGGCGCCTCTTGGGGCTGTTTGGGCGCTCTGGTATCCAAGGGAGCGGGTATGCTGAAAATGAACGTTTTACAACGGGAATGGGGCCATTTTGGTTTCCCGGGGCCTCGTGGGGGGCCTCTTGGAGCTCTCTTGGGGCGTCTTGAGGGCCTCTTAGCCCTTCTGGAAGCCATCTTGGGTCGTCTTGAAGCGCTCCTGGGGCCCTCTCGGCGCTCTTGGAGCGCTCTCGAGAGGTCCGGGAGCGTCCGGGGTTCGTCCGGGGAGCCCCCCGGGGAGAGGGGGGACCATGGTACAAGCGGGGGGCCGGTCCGGGGCCCCGGGGCCGGATCTCCCATATATGTGTACACGCCCATCGGTCGTTGAAAGTAGGTATTTTTGGATTCCTAGAGTCCAATCTACTCTAAGTGCCTCCCTATTTGAATGATCGAGTGGCTTCACCTTTTCCGTCCTCCCTAGGGGGCGGGCGGATACCCAATCTATTTTCAACGCCTTCCTACTTTATGTTTCTACCTACTTCTTCCGACCGATGGGTACACACATATATATATATATATATATATATATATATATATCCAGCTGCCTTCGGCAAGTCCCGTCACCGTGCTTGGGTTGCAGGTGATAAGCCCAGTGGATGTTCGTGGGAGTCTCGTGGGAGGCCTCTCGGGGGCCTCTTGGAGGCACTTCTGAGGCCTCTCGGGGAAGTTTTTTGGACCTCTTGGGGGCCTCTTTGGGGCTTCTTGGGGCCTCTTGGGGGGCCTCTTGGAGCCTCTGGGGCGCCTCTTGGGGCCTCGTGGGGGCTCCTTGGGGCGGAAAGCTCGGATTTTCGGTTCGGGCCCATTGTCTTGGGGCCCTCTTGGGCTGTCTTGGGCGCCTCTTCGGGGCACGTTTAGGCCGTCTTGGGGTCCTCTTGGAGGCCTCCTGGGCCGTCTCGGGGTGCTCTTGGGGGCCTCTTGGGCCGTTGCTGGAGCGTCGGAAAAGTCGAAAAAGCGAGAATCACCCCCGAACCGCACGGAAGATCAATGTTTTTCCCAACCATCCTGTGGTGTTGGGTCCTTGTTTTGACGAGACAGCGCCCCGCGTTCTTCCTTCCTTCCTCCTTCCCCTCCTCCTCTTCCTCCTCCTCCTCCTCCTCCTCCTCCTCCTCCTCCTCCTCCCTCCTCCTCCTCCTCCTCCTCCCTCCTCCCTCCTCCTCCTCCCCTTCCTGCCTCTGCTCTCCGCATGCCCAGCCCATTTCGGCACACCCCTCACACGTTTCGTGGATCATGGGGAGCTCCACCTAAGGCCCCAATAGGAAAATTTGCATGGCACCAACGCCCCATTTCGGCACACCCCTCACACGCTTCGTGGTCCCATGGGGAGCCCCACCTAAGGCCCCAGTGGGAAAGGTCGCATGGCACCGCCGCTCTATTTCGGCACACCCCTCACACGATTCGTGGCCCCATAGGGAGCTCCACCGAAGGCCCCAGTGGGAAAGTTCGCATGGCACCGCCGCCCCATGTCGGCGAGCTCCACCGAAGGCCCCAGTGGGCAAGTTCGCATGACACCGCCGCTCTATTTCGGCATACCCCTCACACGATTCGTGGCCCCATAGGGAGCTCCACCGAAGGCCCCAGTGGGAAAGTTCGCATGGCACCGCCGCCCCATTTCGGCACACCCCTCACACGCTTCGTGCCGCTATGGGCAAGTTCGCATGGCACCGCCGCCCCTTTACGTCACACCTCGCACACGGTTCGTTGTCCCGTGGTACCGCCGCCCCATTTCGGCACACCCTTCACACGTTTCGTGGCCCCATGGGGAGCTCCACCTAAGGTCCCAGTGGGGAAAGTTCGAATGGCACCGCCTCCCAATTTCGGCACACCCCTCACACGCTTCGTGGCCCCATAGGGAGCTCCAAGGAGGGCCCCAACGGCGACGTTCGCAGGCGTCCTCCCGACTCATGTCGGCACACCCCTCACACGTTTCGTGGCAGAAGGCTATGCCGCGTGCGCTCCCCCTCCTTCGTCTCCTCTCCCTCGCGGCACTCGCAGCTGCATACGGATGGGGGGCGCGCAGGCTCCGAGCAGCGCACGCGGTATAGCCTTCGACGTCTGGGGATCATTTTCGGGCGCTTGGGGATCCTTTTCGGGCCCTGGGGCCCCCAGGCCTCGATCCGGGGCGAGCATTCCGCCCAGATGGACCCCAGGAGGGGTCCAGGGGCGGATCTTGAAAGGATTTGTCCTTACCCCCCCGTCTTGTCCCACCCAGTTCAAGGAGGATGAGGAGGAGGAGAAGGAGGAGGAGGAGGAGGATCATACACATAATCTGGGGAGGAGGAGGAGAAGGAGGAGGAGGAGGAAGAGGAGGAAGCTGAGGAGGAGGAGGAGGAAGAGGAGGATGAGGAGGAGGAGGAGGCAGGAGGAGGAAGGCGAGCCGATCGGCAATGAGGGACGAGGGAAAATGGCGGAGGCAGGGATTAACGGATAAGGATGAGGAAGGGATAGATGAGGGAGAGGTGAAGGGTAGGGAAGAGTAGGGATGAGGAGGTGGAAAAGGAGAAGGAGGGAGGGACGGAAAGAAGGTTTGGACATGAGAGTGGAGAGTGTGAGGATGGGGGGGGGATCCCCCCCGACTGATCTCGGGGCGGGGAGTCCCCAGATCAGTCTTTGCAGTCCTTCTCTTATTCTATTTTTTCGGTGAGGAGGACAGAGAATAATCCTCCTGCTCTTCCTCCTCCTCCTCCTCCTCGTCCTCCTCCTCCTCCTCCTGACCAGCTTTCGAAGAGCAGGAGGAGGAGGAGGAGGAGGACGAGGACGAGGAAGAGGGTGAGAGGGGGCAGCCCAAGGGGAAACCACATGTGCGGCGGGGCTTTGACACAGTATACAGGCCAACCAACCCAAAGTATGTTTCGGGGTCACCCCACGAGTGAGAGTGATCAGTCAGTCAGGGAGGGCTGAGGCTGGGGTTTGGTTGAGTTGACTTTTCAAGTGGACCTCTTCTGCCGACTCGGATCTATAATCATGCATGGATTCATGACCGGTGTAGCGGTGATCCGTGCACTTGTTTGCTGGGCGCGGTGGTGGGTTCTCCGAAGCACAACTGCGCATCCGACCTCGATCGTAACTTCAACTCCGCCCATCCCCCTCCCCGCCAGCTGCGATCGGGGTCCCAGCGGTGGCGTGCTCGCGGCGGGCCAGCCGGGTGGGGCGCGCGGGCGGGCGGAGCTGCCCGAGGCCCCGCCAGCCCGGGCGCTGCCGCGCTGGAGCGGATGTGCCTAGGCGCCCACGGCTCGTCCGACGGGCAACTCTCTGGGCCTCCAAGATGAGCGACGAAGGAAAACGGGTTCGTCTTCGCCGACATTGGCGCGTAAGCTGCCCCCGTAAGCGCCCTCGTCTCCAGTGTGGCGTGCCGCGCTGGCGGCCCGCGTAAGCCGCCGCGTAAGGTCGCTATGTCTTCTCGCGTTCGTTTCTTTTCGTCGCTGAGGTGGGGCTGGAGTAGATGGGGGCGGGGAGCGCGCCGCATCTCCGATGTGTTGGCGACGCGGCTCCATGCGGAGCCTGATCTTCTCCACGCGGACGTCGCCGCTGCATCGCAGACGACGCCGATGCTTCGACGATGCATCGCCGATGCGGCGTGATCCTCCGATCCCATCTGCTCGGTCCCCATCTAGACGGCCTCTAGACTCAGCTTCGAAGACGCCACTACGACGGCGACCACCCTCACCGCTGCCACCATCAGCATCGCTGCCACGAGTCCCCACCGCCGACAAGGGTGAGTTCAATAATGCGCCAGCGCGTTGCCCAGGTCACCCGCGGGGGCACGACGATAATCGTGCTTCGCGCGGTGCAGCACAGGCTGGGGAGCAGCCTTTCATCAGGCTGGCCCTGCGTGGACGCGACGGTAACCACGCACCGCGCATCGTTCACCGCGAAACGCGAATATTGGTGACCTAGTTTTTCTCTTCTGCCCGGTGTCTCGCTCAGATTCTCGTCCTCGCGTCAGAGTAATATTGATGCCGTGCGTGTTCCTTGGCACCGATGGGACGCGTGCCCTTTTTCTCGGCAGGGGCCATCGAGGCGCATGTCTGATCTACTCGTGCAAAGATACACGCACAAAACCGACACCTGCACGGGGCATGGACGTCCGAGCGATGGGGAGCTTCGTCTGGATGACAGCGCAAAGACCCGCCGAGATGGCGGGCCGCTGGCGCACGCAGATGTCGAAGACGTCGGGGTCGAACGGCACACCGAAGAGGAGAGTGAGTGTGTGGGGGCCTCCGACGGACGGAGCGGCCCTCTCCCCGCGGAGTTCGATGCCCTTGAACTCGATGCGTCAGGCTTTCCTGACGGTCGGGTGCCCTCGGAGGTACCAGGCACCTTCAGCCGCCTTCCCGTGATCTGCTGGTAGGCCTTGTCGTAGTTGTGAAGGTTCTCGCCCGTGCGTTTCAGTTCGTTGGCAAATCATGGGAGCCTTGTGTACCCTCGTCATTCCGCATCTAGCGTCGACTAGCGTCGATCAGCGTCTGGGAGTCGATGGGATAGCGGTGCTCGCGCGCGAACTGTGGCGATCGCTGCGCACCCCTGCCCCGTCGTGCCACACCCTGCCCAGGCGGTAACACCCCCCCCTTCCCCCAGGTAGCGACCACTACAGAGAATGACAAAGCAAAATTCTGACTACATGGAGGCCTCCGCGAAGTGGGATGCCCAATCTCGCTGACGCTAGATCCGAATCCTTCCCTCGCCGATCGGCGATTGAGGCAACTCGATGGGCGGCGGGGGTTAGGAGTTCGGAATTCGTCGAACACGTGACGAAATCCGAACCCCACCCCCGCATCCCATCGATTCCGGAGATTCGCTGGTTGGTTTCGAAGAAGAACAAACGGCCTAAACATAGACTTTCGACGCTCCGCGCGGATTTCTTGGATCCGCGCTGGGGCCCCCGGGCGGCGCCTCCGGCGCCGCCCCTGGCGCGCTCCGCGCGGGAGGGAGGGGGCTTCGAGCCCAGATCCAAGAAATCCGCGCTGACCTCCAAAAGTTTATGTCTATGTCCTGGTCTTTCCCCCCGCGGTGGGGGCAGGGTCCGGAGGTGGCCCCGGCGGGATGCCAAGCTCCGAGCGGCGCCACGCCACGCCGCCGTCGACGACGCTGCTCCGGGCGGCGCGGGGCGGCCGGGGAGAGCGGCACCGGGCCAGGGCCCACCCACACGCTCGAGATCTTTAATAAGTTGTTGCTATCTTTAATTTAGCTAGGCGAAATCATATTTTATTGATAAAACGGTAATAAATTAAAGAAAAACAATAGGAAGTTAAAGATATCTTTAAATTCTATCTCTAATTTCCCAGATCTCATTAAATAATAAATGATTCTGGTCTGGAATTATTGACAATCAATAAAATCAGATCGAAATCATGAATTAAAGATTTGTCAATATATTGTTCAACTTATGATTTGGGGCCAGAAGGATGTAAGACACCGATGGGCGATACTAGACTCATTGAGCTGTTGTTGCTGTGTTCTGCTTTCCATATACATGTTTACTTGGTGCACACGCGTGGGCTTTTGACATGTCGTGCTGTAGCCTTGTGTGAGTTGTGCTGTTGAGTTGTGTTGTGAAATATGATGTGATTGTTTGTGTTTTGTTCATCAAGTGTTGAATGTGTTGTGTTGAGTTTGCTGCGTGTGTGTGAGTGTGCGTGCGTGCGTGCAATCCATTGACATTTCGGTTCGTGCGCATTCAGCGGTTTCATTTACATGTGAATTGATGGGGAAACGCAAACGTGCCCCAAGCGTTGACTTGACTGACTCACAGGTACAATCGTTGCTCGAGGAACACATCAAAGCAAAATATTTGACGGTTGATGATCTTTGGCCTTACAAAAAAAACAGACAGCAAGGGCCTGATTGGGCAGGGCTCTACCGACAGCGCCACGTACTGACAGATTGCATGGTATTAACTCGCGGTCGCCTCTTGCGCTTGAAACAGTTCGAACGTCAAGTTGGAACATATCTGAAAAATGTGGCGCCGACTACCTTTACCATCGATCAAGTTTCATTGGTATGTAATAGATTTCGCACGATGGTGTCGCACTTACAACGCATCAGAGTTGATAAGAAGAAGATTCCTAAATCATACTGTCAGTGAGAGGCTTTGGTGAACAGTATGGACACAACGGAGGTTCCTGGCAACGCAGATACAGATGGAGATGGATCAGACGACGAGGTGGCTGTTGTTGAAGCGGGTCGTTCACCAGTTGATGTTGTCGACGTGTCATCGGCTGATGAGTCTGCCCGCGGGCAGTTCGATGTTGATGAAACTTTGGGTGAGTTGGAGGGCCTCATAAAGAAGCGCCCTAGTTCAGAGTTACCATCTTCTTCATCAGTTGGACCACATACGGTTGGGAATATTGTTGAAGTGCCGACTGAAGAGTCTAAAAAAAACACCAGAGCCAATCACGGATGCGGCTTTGGAAGCGCTAGCGGGAGATGGCAAAGTGGGTCCCACGAGCAAGGAGTATACCGATGTGTTTAAGAGGCCTGCAGCTGCAAAGAGTGGAGCTGCAGGAAAAAAAGCGTGCACAAGCTGTAGGAAAAAAGCCTGCAGCTGCAGAACCCCCGTCAGAGGACCCAGCACACCCTGAGGGCGAGGGCGAAGTGAATGAAGACGAGTTTCCAGAAATAGACTTATCGATAGATCCAGCCGTCAATTGGAATGTGATGAAAAACAGGCTCCACAGCCGCATCTATCACAACACAATGAGCTTTTTGATTCGTAAGGGTGTTCCCAAAGAGAGAGCTCGACAGATTACACGCGATCGTTGTGCGAAGATGCTCGCATACATTGACAAGTGACAGGTGCCCAACTGAGCAGAACAAAAAAACATCGTCATCATCGACAGCATCGCCATCATCATCTTTAGTGTGCGCAGCAAAGCACATGACGTTACATTCGGCAACATTGCCATCGTCATCACCATAATGTACATCAGCATCATCATCATCATCAGCATCAGCATCATCATCATCATTCTCATCATCATCAGCAACATCATCATCATCATCATCATCATCATCACCACCGTCATCGCCACCACCATCACCACTATCACCATCACCATCACCATCACCATCACCATCACCATCACCACCACTCACCATAACCGCCACCATCGCCATCAAGCCGTGTGAGTTTTCATGGCCGTGTCCTCGCGCGAGTGCCCAATGGGCTGGCAGGCTGTCTTTGCCCCCCCCCGTACGGTCGTCGTCCTTCTGCCCCCTCATCCACCGAAACGGCACCTGAAACAGCCCGCGTGCGTTGTTCGATCTGGAGCTGGTGCGCCTACGAGTCATATCATATAGAGGGCTGGGTACTCCGACCCCAAGTTTGTTCGTGAGGCGTCGGTGTTTTACGTTTCTGAGTTGTGTTGTCCAGCGGGCTCCCCTTTTTACACCTCCCACTCCCGTAGCCAGTCTGGCCCAAGCCCGAGCAGTCCAGCGACTTCAGAGGCCATCGACAAAGCATGCAGCCCCATGTTGATGGCCCACGCTTGCCAGACACACCATTGGACGCCTTCATGGGAAATCCAGCGGCAGCCCAGGACGACATGAGCGGATCGGACCTGTTCGACGATGATGTCCATGTCGCCGAAGACTCACCGCCACCGACGGATTCGAATCTGCTGACCTACTCGGCATTCATGGAGTTGGCGAAGATTGAACTACACGACCTGGAGAACGGTATCGCGGCGGCCAATGGCATGGTGGTCGAGCTTGGCGAGGACAAGTACATGATGGAGATTCGTGGCGCGATCGGTGGCTGGATCGAGAAGGCTGTCACTTTCGCCTCGACTGTCCACGCCACGTCAGATGGCCCTGAGACCACCTCCTGGACCGTACACCTCGAGAACATCAAGAATCAGACGCTCGACCTGATGAACGAGCTCAGCGCCTTCAGGGCCACGATTTCTCCACCGACTTCTGCGTGGGCCGCAAGATCCGCGAGTGCTGAGCGAAAGCCGACTGAGGGTTGGCTACCAGTGCGCGCAGCACGCTACCTCCTCCTCCTCCTCCTCCTCCTCCTCCTCCTCCTCCTCCTCCCCCAACATGTTTCAATGTGATTAAGACCATGTTGCGCATTCTCAGCAATCTGTTCCTCCTCCTCCTCCTCATCCTCCTTCCTCTTTTTCCTCCTCCTCCTCCTCCTCCTCCTCATCATCATCATCCTCGTCCTCCCCCTTCTCCTCCTTCTCCTCGTCCTCCTCGTCATCCTCGTCCTCGTCCTCCCCCTCCTCGTCCTCCTCCTCCTCCTGCGATATCGGGCAAACCAGAGAAACGACTTCTGGGGTATCGGGTAAACGAAATTATCCTCCTCCTCAGCGTCGTCCTCATCCTCCTCCTCAGCGTCGTCCTCGCCCTCCCTTCGAAGGGCCCGAAGCTCCTCCTCTTCCTCCTCCTCCTCCTCCTTCGCCTCCTTCTCCTCCTCGTCCTTCTCGTCCTTCTCGTCCTCCTCGTCATCCTCGCCCTCATTCTCCTCCTCCTTCTCCTGCGGTATCGAACCAGAGAAACGACTCCTGGGGTATCGGGCAAACGAAATTCTCCTCCTCCTCAGCGTCGTCCTCCTCCCCCTCCTCCTCCTCCTCCTCCTCCTGATCCTCCTCCTCCTCCTCCTACTCCTCGTCTTCCTCCTCCTCTTCCTCCGCATCCTCCAGGCTGCCCGTCAGCGCGGCCACGCATCGAGGTGCCCAGTGGGGCGCGAGACGGGCCGCACGCGGCAATCCCCCGAGCCTCGCTCAAAATCGGTCTTGACCCCACCCCCAAGAGGAGGAGGAGGAGGAGGAGAAGGAGGAGGAGGGGGAGGAGGAGGAGGAGGAGGAGGAGGCAATGAGGAGGCGGAGGAGGGAGGAGGAGGAGCCGGTCTGTCGGTCTGAACAAATATCAAAAAAGACGAGGAGGCAGGGGACGAAGGGGAGAAACTGAGACGCGCGGCGCTGCGGAGAGGCAACGAGGGCCCAACAATCACAGGAGAGCTGAGGGCCCAGCATCCGTGACGTCCTCACTTGGGTTCGCTTTCTCTGAATATCATGATGCAGCTCAACGCAATCAGAAAAATCAGAAAACGATTTCTGATTTTCTGATTTTCTGATTACAACATATGAAACCATATATCTATATACGAAAACAATGAAATCATAACATCAGAAAATCAGAAAATCAGAACTCAGTTTCTGATTTCTGTTGGTAGCTTTTGGCCCAAGCTGTCTACATACCGCGCCCGACATCGATCGTTGTCGGATATGCCCGCGGGTGACAAGGGCTGGCTTGGCATGGCTCCGACAGCGGCAGAGGTCCAGCACGCCAAGGAGATCCTGGATCGCAGCCAGGACCCCAAGAAGAAGGAGAGGGCTGTGCTGGCCAGCTTCAGGTACTACTTGATCGAGAAGGGCGGCGGCACCACGAACCCTGGCCTCTTGCAGGACGTCATGGCCAGCAAGGGGGAGGAGCGTAAGCAGTATCTGCTCGACTTCTTGGTGATGCAGGCTCGCGACAAGAAGGCCAAGGTTGGGCAGACCTCGACTTACAAAACAGGCACCGATAAGCGGTCACACACCATCACTGGCTGGGTGAGCTGGAAGAAGTTCTGCGACGTGCTCGGCGAGAAGAAGGCCGAACTCTTCTTGGAGAAGAATGTTGTGACGACTCGCCCATGCACGCAGACAGGGTCAACGGAGAAGGAGATCCAGGAGTACTACCTCAAGGAGTCCTACACTGATCTTCAAGGGATGGAGGTGTCCACGTCCAGCATCAACCACGTCAAGGATGATGCCGACGATGCCGACGTCGACATGGTGAGTGACGCAGCTGCTGATGATGGTCACCGATTGCAAGAAGAACACACAAGCGCTGGAGAGCATCAAGTACACGTCCGAGCTCCAGGGCGACTACAAGAAGCTCACGCCGAAAATCACGAGGATGGTGAAGCTCGTGGAGGCGCTCATCGTCGATCCTGACGCCGATAAGGGGCGCGATACCATCGACAAGATGACGAAGACCTTCGACGCCATCGTTGACGAGTTCGGCAAAGTCGAGGAGGCTGCGAAGAGGTTCGGCGTGCAGACCAGCGGGCCCAAGAAGCGCAAGCGCTGAGCAGAACGGGGGACATGCTGAGCTCAGCATGTGCATAACATGCACTCCTCCCTCCTCCTTCCTCCTCCTCCCGCCTCTCCCTCCTCACACCTCCCTATCCTCGTCATTCCCCTCCTCCTTCTCCAACTTGCCGCGGGGTAGAACGCACAGTCATGACAGGGGGTATGCGCAAAGAGAGAGCTCAGACCACAACTCTTCGACAAAAGTAGCATCATGATGGCCAAGCTGGGGACACCTGAATGACATTGCGATCGCTTCTTAAACGCAAGTACCGATACGCAAACAAGCAATTCACCATCACCACCACAATCACCATCACCATCACCATCACCATCACCATCACCAGCACGATCATCAGCAGTGCCATCACCATTACCACAATCATCATCATCATCATCATCATCACCACCATCATCATCATCATCATCACCACAACCATAAGCATGACCACGTCGTCATCATCATCGCCATCAGCATCACCATCACCATCATCATCAACAACAACATCATCATCACTATCGCCATCATCATCGTCATCATCATCACCATGTCTGCAACCGCTTTGGCTTAATTCTTGCGATGACAATGATGCGACACTACATATGCTTCCTATACATAATGAGCTCGGAGATCGTATCAAACTCGCTCAAGAGAAGATTAGATCGCGCCAGTTCCGAGCTCACCACTCTATGCGAAACGGTGCCCGCTTGCTCTGAGCCGCCACGTGGGCCTTTGTGTCGAAGGATCGATCGGGCCAGTGGTCAGCCAAGCCAACCAGACAACTCGTTGCCACTCAATCGTGTACTGTTACGCCGCTGGGCGAAAGGAGACCTCTCGAGTGCAGCAGTGTACGAACTTGCAGATGCAGCTTTCAAACAAGGTACCCCTGGAATGAGCAAGCTTGCTTCGGCAGGGGCATCTGGGAAACACCATCAGAATTTCCAACGTGCGTTATTCAATTTCTTCGGAACCCCTCGGGGTACTCCAAAATACACTTGGGTACACGTGCCTTCGACTCGGGGTCGCATACTTCACCCTGTGCTACTACCGCACGAGTTTTTCGGCAAACTGTTTGCAGAGAGGCTCCCTGTGTGGGAGCAAGGCTTGCGAGGGCCACCAGACGAGGCTATGAAGTTCTGGACTCACATCAAAGACTCCCCAGTTGTATCGAATCACCCGTTGCTGCCAGAGGGAAGCAGACGCATGACAATCCCCCTTGGGCTCCACGGAGACGGGGGGGCCTTTTCGAAACAAGGCTCGCTATTTGTGCTATCATTCAACTCGTTGGTATCTGGCGGCGCTGGTGAGGGCTTCACTCCGCCCTTCATCTATACCATTTTTAGAAAAGCAGATATGGTGGACGGCACGTTCGATGCTCTGTGGACTGTCTTTGCGAGGTCAATGAATCAATTGCTGTGTGGCGTGGCATCATATAAAAATTGGGAGATGAAGCCGTGGCCTGGAGGTGGGCAGCTTATTGCAGAGGGCTATCGTGGGACCCTCGTGAAAGTGCGCGGGGATGGGGAGTTCCTGAACAGCGTCTTCAAGCTTGCTCACTGGAACGATAAAATCAATAACTGTTGGATGTGCCTCGCCTCCAGTAGCACTCCCAACTTGCTGTATGGGAACTTTAACAGAGATGCTGGTTTGCGCGAGACTCGGATGACACATGCTTCGTGGTTAGCCGAATGCGCCATAAAAGGGTAGAGATATACCACTACTCTTCAAATTGACATGCGGGCTGATACTCAACTGTGTCGCAATCGACACACTACACGTGTGCGACCTAGGTATCACATGCCACGTCGTTGGCAATATCTTTATCATGGTGTGCTTGAAAAGGCGAGGTGGCCTGCTTGATGACAGAGTAAGTGCCCTTGGCGAGGAATGCGTCAGATGGTACAGAGCGAGGGGGAAACAAAACATGTTACGAGGAAAATTATCATTGGCTCGCATTCGAAGCGAGAGCGGGCTTCCTAAGTTGAAAGCGAAAGGTGCTTCCACACGAGCCCTTGTGCATTTTGCATTGGATCTGGCACAGCGTGAGGTCGATGACCAGAGGGTGATAGCCCTTGCGCAGCTTTTCGTGGAATTTTACGACATGATTTCTTCGAACGGACTTTACCTCGATGACGACGTTGTGAGAAGGTTTGTGTTCATCGGCGGCCTTTTTCCAAAGATCTACGCCTCTTTAGCAAGAGACGCGCTCAGAGTGAAAACAAAGGCCTGGAAACTGACCCCGAAATTGCACATGTTTGCGCACTTGCTAGAATGGCAAATTCCAGAGTTTCGTCTCAATCCCAAATCGTACTGGTGCTACGCCGACGAAAACCTGGTCGGCGATCTTGTGGGCATCGGGGAGTCGTGCCATGTTCGTACGCTGGCCACAGCTTCCCTCAGCAAATGGTTGTTGCTAAATTTCACGGAAGACGCTCCTGATGCGTTTGGCATTGAGCGCTAGCAGCTGGAAAATCTGGGGCCGCAGGCCTGTGTACCGTTGCTCACACACAGACGCACACTCGCGCAAACACTCACATGTGTGTATGTATGTACATATATAGACAGGCTTACGCCACGTCCGCCGACTATCTGTACAGGTTTACGCCACGTGTGCCGACCCCTGCCCCCATGAATATATTATATGGAAATCTGTATTATAACAATATTATTGACATATGTTTAATATTGTAACGAATATTTAATCTATAATGGATCACTAACCTTATAGTGGGGAGTGAGCGTCTGGGCAGGGGGGGGGGCGTGGGACGGCGTGCCTGCGCGAGGGGCCGAGCGCTCGTCGAGCGCCTCGTCGGGCAGCACCAGTGAGGCGCAGGGCGAAGTCGGGGGGCCAGGTGCGGGGCACTGCCAGGCAGTACCGTCCACCCACATAGTGTTAAGGCGGGCCTGTCCCCCTGCCGGGGGATTGTCGACGATTTTTTTCCCCCAGCAAATAA